GGTTTGTGCGGGGAGAAGGGTGCAACAATGAATGAATGGAATTCCAAAATCTCTGTAGATGTTCATTGAAATGAAAAATAAACAAACTAAATTAAAAAAAATCAAATCCTCTTATTAATCTTAGCCTCCCCGACAGGGCTGGCATCCCCAGGAAGTGAGCTAAGCATGGCTTACTTGTGCCCACTTCATAATCTGTAGTGAACACTTCCATGTTCTATTATTTACATCAAAGATGAGATCCGCATGAAGGTATTCACTGTTGATCAGTAGGTAAGCATGAGAAAACTGTGCTTACCTGGCTTATTTGGTCTTCCGCCTTGCCTCCACTGACACCCTCCTCCTTGCTGCAGGTCCCCCCACTCTGGCTGTCCAGGCCAAATGTGATCCCTGTTTGTCCAGCCCGTGCCAGAACCAGGGCACCTGCCACAATGACCCCTTTGAAGTGTACAAGTGTACTTGCCCCAGTGGTTATAAGGTGAGTCGGGGCTGGGGGAGGCTGGGGGGCGGGGCCTTGTGTGTGCTGCTGGGTAAGGCAGGAGCAGATCTGTGACTGGGTCCCCAGGGTCCTGAAAATGAACATTTGATTGGTGACTTAATATGTAAATGAATGAACATGTTCCATCCTCCTGAGGAGGGGCTGGTGTAGCTCACATTACCCCTGGGGGAGACCCTGCTCACTAACTTTTCTCCCCAGGGCCGAGACTGTGAGGTGTCCTTGGATGTCTGTTCCAGTGGTCCCTGTGAGAATGGCGGGACTTGCCTGGCACAGGAGGGTGACGACGCAGGCTTCACGTGAGTTTGCAGGAACCTGATGAGCAAGTGTGTTGATAGACTGCTGTCCCCAAGCCTCAGTGCCCTCTTGTCTACACGGGGCTTACCCAGGCCTCCCCTTGTCTCTGGGAGGTGAAGTGGGTTTATCCCAGACCACAACCAGAAGGAACTCCCACAAACCCATCAGGCCATGCCCTTCACTTTCCAGATGAAGTGAAGAAGCAGCAGGTAGAGCAGGGCTGGGCGTGACACCTTCTCTCTGCTGCTCCTGGGCATTTTTTTTGCTCTTACTGGCTCTGGGGGCTCCTGCTGATGGCACAGGGCAAGTACAATGACAAGGCCAAGGCCTTTTAAACCCCCATCATTTTGCCCTCAGAGTATCCTGTAAGTCTAAAGCTAATGCGGCTCAGGAACCAATCAGCAGGCAGCCCCCTGAGCCACAGTCTGATGTGGTCACAACAGGGCCAGGTGCCAGAGGTGAGAGCCAAGTCCTGGTCACTCATCTAATGAGTCATATTGCCACCAGTCCACGGGGGACAGTCCTGGAGACCCTACTATCGAGGGCCAGCCTAATGAACCATCTCTAAGCCTTTCCTGTGCTCACCTTCCAGCCAGATCTCCCCCACCTATCTTCCCTCCTGGGGCTCCTGTGAACCCCTGCCCCAGAGCCCCCCCTCCCCAACCCAGAGCTTTTCTGGGGAATTTAGCATATTTAGTTGCTAAAAATAGACTACCAGCCAGCAGAGAGTAAATTGATCCTTTAGAAAAAAGATGTTGCTTCCACTGGCAGAAATGGCCAAACCTGTCTTTGCAAACCCAAATTACCGGATGTAAAAAATAAACTGCTAAATGGCTTCTCCGCCCCACGGTTGCCTTGGAAACGTCATCCTTACACAGGCGCGTGTCCTCCTCTGGGCTTTGGTGAGCTGCTCCATCAAGGCTGTCCCTCCTGGCTCATCAGGCTCTTCAGGGGGTCTGTGGAGAGTCAGGTGCTGACAGGACGCTCCCCAGCAATAGGCTGTGAAAGCTGATAGACCTGGCAGACTTCTGCCGGACCCATCACAGCTTAGAGGGTAGTGTGTGGTGATGAGGAGCACCGGGACGGGCCTGAGAGGGATGCTGAGGTCCTCGAGGACAAGGCTTTTCTCCACGTGCCCAAGAAGCCGATTATCTGGTAGAGGAGACAGTCAGACCATACAAGGTGACTTAAAGATGAGAAGTCATCATCAGAGGACGTTACGAATTGTTCAGGAAGAGGATGCTTCTAGGACCCAGTCCTTCCCAGTCCTTTATCTGTTTCTACTTCACAGAGAAGGAAGTTGAGGGCCTGCTGCAGTGACAGCAAAGGCCAATGGCAGCCCTGCACCCAGCTGTGACACAGGGCAAGAGGTTTCCCTGGGGCCAGTCCCAGGGCCCTGTGGGCTTGTGGGTGTGCATGTGGAAAAGGCAGCAGAGCAGTCTGAGCCAGGCAGGCTCCCCGTCCTGGGCAGAGCAGGACTGGCCTGGGGAGCGGAGGACTGGAGTGACTTGTGAGCTGGCACTTGTGCCAAGGCTGGCAATTACCACAGAAGGAAGAGTCTGTGGTCCTTGGGGCTGCAGTGCTGGGGCCCTGCCAGTAGCATCGAGGGGCAACTCCAGCAGAGCACCCCAGAAGGGAGATGGTGCATCACACCTCCATCCGTCCATCCCTGGGGCACTTCCTGAAATACAAAGCTGACCTCAGTCACCCCTGTTTAAAACCCCTGGGCTGTTCCCTCAGCCTTCAGGAGGAAAAGGAAATGTGGGAGCAGTCTGTACAAAATGCTTTAATAATGTTTTCATTCCCACAGCACCAAAATAAAGTTTTTAAAACGGCCTCTTCCCCTCACATATTTTTAAATTGAAATCTTAAACTTCTTCATCATAAGTTAACTTTTCATCACAGAAAGGGTAATCTCCAGGCTGTTGTGAATATCATGAATATTAAAAAGAAAAATCTCAAACCCAATGCCATTGAGCTGGTGCAGACTCACAGAGACCCCTCAAAATCTTCCTGGGAGTGTAAATTGAAACAGGAGGATATTGCCAATCTGTCTCCCAGAGGTGCTGGCAGACTGGAGCTGCCAGAGACACACAGCCTTTGAGGTAGCAGCACTGTGGACCACCCGCATCTCCAGGGGATTCTCAATAGCTGAGAGTGTGATAGTATTTTGCAATGATGTGAACAAGTGTCTCTTTAACAGTTAATATTGCATCTTGTCCTTTTTCCTTCTCAGATTGGTATTTCCATTCTATGTCTCCTCCTCCCATTTTTCTTCCAATGCTGTGTATTTTTATACTACAGAGTTTTTCCTTAAACTCGCTTTCGTAGTTCTTTGTGACATGGGATCAGACAACAGGGCATATAAACTTGAAGTGCTTTTCTTGGCTTTTGTAGCCACAAGCTTCTGTTTAAGTTTCTTCTGCATTGAGTGATCCTTACAACTTTCAATAATATATTTTGGGTCAAAGGATTGTAATGGTTCTGATTTCAGTTACAAAATTTAGTTGATAAAAATTACACAGAGACCTCTCCTTCATTTCCTTTCAAAGAGGGAGGCCTATCCCTTTGGGATGAAACTTCCTAATTAATCTAGCTTTAGTTCTCACCTTTTAAAAATATTACACACAAAAGTTACTTTTTATTAGGGAGTTCTGGTGGCCTAGTGGCAAGAAGCTTTGCTTTACTCCCAAAGGCACACACTTCAAGGCTACCAGCTGCTCTTTGGGAGAAGGATGGCAGTCTCCTCCCATGTGATTAACTGCCTCTGAAAACCTGCCGCAGGGTCAGCTATGGTTTGGTTCCGACTCTATGGTAAACAACAAATAACAACATTTCTAAGTGAGGGAGCTATTTGAGTTTTTTTTTTTCCTATGGATATATGTTTAAGGATGTTGTTGGATGATTCCAGAATGAGAGGGCTCAGTCTGCTCCTTTTTCTTTTCTTTTTTCATTTTTTTTAAAGGCTGAGGAAGTTTGTTCACTTAACTAAAGCCATGGGGTTAGGATTTTTATTATCACCATGCCACACAATTCTTTCAAATCCTTCTGAGTTTATACGACCCCAAGCCCTAGAGAGATCTGCTATCAGAAATTCTTTCTTAACGCTGGATCAGCTGACCATTCCAGGAGGCCCTTCTCCAGTCACTTCTAATGCATGAACCTGGAAACGGCCTATTTTCTATTTCATTTATTTCTGCTCTTGTTTTTATAATTTCAGTTTTTTTAAAGGGTGTCGGGTTTTCTTGCTGTTCTTTTTCAATTTGCTGGAGATATTGGGTTAGAGAGTCAATAGTCTGTTTTTCCTGTCTTTTGATGTGTTTGCTTATTGCTATAAGTTGACCTCTGATTACTGCTTTGGCTGCTTCCCAGAGGTTTTGGCAAGTGGTGTTTTCATTGTCATTAGTTTCAAGAAACTTTTTAATTTCATTTTTTATTTCTTCTACTACCCAGTCATGTTCAAGCAAGGTGTTGTTCAGCTTCCAAATGTATGGTTTTTTCTCCTTTATCATCCTATTATTAATTTCTAATTTTGTGGCATTATGGTCTGACAAGATGGTTTGTATTATTTCTATGTTTTTGAATCTACTGATGCTTGCCTTGTGACCTAGAATGTGATCTATTCTAGAGAATGTTCCATGCACTTTGGAGAAGAGGTATACTGTGCTTTTTTGGGGTGCATTAGTCTATAGATATCTATGAGGTCAAGTTGGTTTATTGTGTGATTTAATTCTTCAGTATCTCTGTTGAGTTTTTTTCTGGTAGTTCTATCTTTTCTTGAGAGGGGTGTATTAAAGTCTCCCAGCGCTATAGTAGTGTTGTCTATTTCCTTTTTCAGTTTTGTTAATGTTTGTGTTATTTATTTTGCTGGTCTAACTTGCAAATGTAATTTCTTTCCCATTCACTTTCTAATCAATAATCCTAAATGTCCCTCGGTGCTTAGAATTTCAGTCTTTGAGGCACGTCCCATCTTAGATTGGAGGATAGGGGGAATTCTCAGACATTTTAGGGGAAAGTTCATGTGGGATTTGAAGATCTAGAAATTGAAACCTCTCTGCTCCCAAGTCCTTGGAAAATTCCTAGGTACCCCAGGGGAGCACACCCTGGTCTCACCTCCAGGGTCCTCCATACCTGACCTCTGCTCACCCCCAACCATATTCTCACCCTCACCCCTGACAGCTGTGCTCCCCAGTCCTGAACCATTTGGATGAGCACATCCCTTCCCAGAGAACTGGACACTGGGTATTCGCACGTTCCCCTCAGAACTGCCTCTCTCTTTCAGCCTCCACACCAGAGTCCTTGCTTAACCCGTCATCTCCTCCAGGCCCACCTCCTCCAAGGATATCCCTGCTCACTGCCCCCGCCCCTTCTAGATCATGACTGAGCCTCATGAAAGTCAGACCCATCCTCCTCTCTGAGGCTGCAGCACCAAGCACAGGGCCTGTTGTCGGCCTTTAACTATGTAACAGAGGTTGGTGAATGTGGCCAGCTTCCAGCGGAGGTCTGGAAAGGCTGCCACCGGGCTGTGGGGCCACCTGCCTCTCCCCCCGCATCCCCACCTCCCCTGCAGGTGTTCCTGTCCCACCGGCTTTGAGGGACCGACCTGTGCCGTGAACACGGATGACTGCATGGAGCATGCATGTGTCAATGGCGGCAGCTGTGTGGATGGTGTGGGCAACTACACCTGCCAGTGCCCCCTGCAGTACACAGGTAAGCATAGGGGGCTTGGGTGTCAGAGCGGGAGGGCTGACCCCCACCTCAGTCTCTAGAAGTTTCTGCTGGACTGGCTGCCTGGCCCAGCACAGGAGGGCAGCTTCTCTCTCCTGTGTCTCACTAATTCTATCCCCAGGAAAGGCCTGCGAGCAGCTGGTGGACTTCTGCTCCCCAGATCTGAACCCCTGTCAGCACGAGGCCCAGTGTGTAGGCACTCCAGATGGACCCAGGTCAGTGTTGTCTGTTTTGGGGGCCAGGAAGGGAGTATCTCCAAGTCTGACTGGAGTCTACCTCTCTCTACTCTGGGTACCCTCCCAGTCAAGGGAGTAGTATCAGCCACACAGGCTTCTATGCTCACCAGCCTGACCTTGAGTTGATTGTTGACCTCTGAACCTTGTTTTTCCATTTATAAACTGTATGCAGTTCCTCTGGGGCAGCTGAAAGGACATGCCAAAGGGTGCAGGAAGTAGTTATCCAAGTCTGACATCCAGTAGGTGTTCCACAAAGAACTATCAGCACTGCTGATTCACAGCCTCTCAGTGTGGTCTAGTGGTTAAGGAGCTATACTGCAAACCCAAAGGTGCTTAGTTCAAATCCACCGCTGCTCTGCAGAAGAAAGATGGGCAACCTCCTCCTTAGCTATGAGTTGGTTCCCACTTGAGAGTACATAACAACAACAATATTCCTAAGTTCAAAATCCACAAAGCTCTGAAAGTTCATGCCCGTTGGATGGCAGAGTCTGATCTGACCTGAATACATTTGTAATAAAAGCTGACCCTCACTAAGGTTACTAACAGCTTTCATTCATCCCACCCCTGTGAATATCCTTAGATTTGGCAGCAGAGACACCGACATGTTTGATTATGGGACTGACCCCGGTCCCACTGGTGTGTCACAGAGATCCAGTGCTCTGGGGATTGCAGGGCAGTTTTTTTATCACCAGGCCACCAGAGCTCCTTATGAAATCCCTGTGTGGTAAAAATCATTAGCATGCTTAGCCGACTGGCCTCAGTGGAAGCTGGTGGGGACAGGAATCCCTACAGGTTAGGAGTATCTTGCAAGGCCTTGGCTAAAACCTAGGTGGAGGAGCGGGCATTTTGTTGGTCAAGACGGGCAAAGTTGGGCTTTGGGGAGAGCTGTGAGAGGTGGGAAGCTGGGGACTGGCCCTGCATCCAGATGCCTTGGGAGAAGGGCCTCAGCCCTGCACGGGCAGGTCCTGGGGGGACAGAGGAGGGAGCAGCTCAGTGGAGAGCAGGCTGGGAAGGGATGATGTTCGACCTTGGATGTGGTGGTCAGGGTGGACCATGACGAGGGTTCTATCTCCTGCTGTCCCAGCACAGGCCCCATTCCAGGAAGTGGGAGACGCTCCTTCTAGGGCTCAGCTTGACCTCCTGGAGGTTCCCACAGATCCACTGGGCCTGGGAGTTCTTTATCACATGCGAACTCCCCACCCCATGAACCGTGTGGACCCTGGCTGCCCTGGTCAGATTCTGAGCACATGTGGCCATCGTCCCCCTACCTTATCACCCCCAGGTGTGAGTGCACGCCTGGTTACACAGGCGACAACTGCAGCCAGAACCGAGATGACTGTGTGGACCACCGCTGCCAGAATGGGGCCCAGTGCATGGATGAAGTCAACAGCTACTCCTGTCTCTGCACTGAGGGCTACAGGTAAGTGGGCCCTGACGTGCCATGGGGACGCCAGGTTTTGCTAGGGGACCAGGACAGGGCAGGGCCCAGAGCCTGGGAATTGGATCCTGGGGTTTTCACCAAACCTATCCTGACCACAAGGAGCCCCAATGGCGCAATGGTTAGGTGCCCGATACGACCTGAAAAGGTGGTGGTCCAGACCCACCAGCTGTTCTGCAGGAGAAAAGACCTGGAGAGCTGTTCCAGTAACAAGTCTAAGGCCTGGTAAACTCTACACAGTGATTCTACTTTGTTCTGAAGGCTCAGCAGGAGTTGGAAATGTCTCCACAGCACACACCAACAGTCACTAGCAGTGTAGTCTTGGAAACGTTACTTGACGGCTCTGAGTAGAGACAAAGAGTCTCTGGCCTGTTTGGTGTGAGGGTGGGAGGAGGGTGCAGATAACCAGATGAAGCCCATCACGCTCGCCTGCCAGCCGGAGCTCTGCAGATAGATGTCCATTAAGTGTGAGGTTAGGGCTGCTGTGAACCCCTGTCAGTGCTTGTTTACTTGATCTACCATCTTGGCTCCCTCTTTCTGGCTCATTCACTCCCCACGCTACACTTATGCCTTTAAAAAAAACCACAAACCCACAGCTTTGTTCGTCTGCAATTTAAAAATCAAACAACGTGTACAATTCAGTAACTCCATGTGTGTGTGTGTGTGTGAGTGTGTGTGTGTGTGTGTGATCAAATTGGATCTGACTGGTACAGGAAGAGATTGCCCCTTCTCCAGCGGAGCATCTGGTGATTCTGGAGATCTGCATACCTCTGGGATTGCAGTGCAGCTTTTTGCCAGTAGGCCACCAGAACTCCCAATTCAGTAACTTTTAACATATTCACAAAATTGTGCAGTCATTGCCATGGTCAGCCTTACACCATTTTTCTCACCCTAAAGAAACGCTCTTCTGTCCTTTGTGAATGGTTTCCTTCACTTAGCATACAGTCAGCCACGTTTTACAACATGAATTAGTACTTCATTTCCGTTTACTGCTAAACAATATTCCATTGTGTGAATACACCACAATTTGAAGATCTAGTCATTAGCTGATGGATGTTTGAGAAGGTTCCACTTCTGGGGTATTAGACAATAATGCTGCTATGCACCTTTGAGGGAGCTCTGGTGGTATAGTGTGTATGGAGTTGCATTCATCATTAACCCAAAGGTGGGACCTCTCTCCAAGCTGGGATCCACCAGTGGTTCCCCCGGAGAAAGATGGCCATTCTCCTCTCCTGCCATTTAAAGCCTTGGGGGTCAGCTACGAATGGATTCCCACTCGATGGCAATGTGAGGGGTGGGGGTCAAGGGATAAGATAGACATTTCTGTATGTGTGTATGTACACGCACACATGCATGTGTACATACACTATATTTTCAATTCTCCTGGGCATATATCAGGCAGACGTTGAATTGATAAGTCAAACTGTGACTGTGTTTAGTTATTTGAGGAATTTCAAGACTGCTTACAAAATGCTCACCAGTGATATGTAGTTGTTATTTTTGTTATGTGCCGTCATGTCGCCTGTGACTCATAGCGACCCTATGTACAACAGCCCTAAAACCTGCTCTGTCCTGTGCCAATCGCACTGTCTCCACACACCTACCTCTATTACCCCAGTCACTGAATCAATCCACGTCATAAAGACTCTTCCCCTCCTGTGCTGTCCCTCCACCCTCCCGAGCATGATGTCCTTCTCCAAGGACTGGTCCCTCCTTGCAACATGTCCAGAGAATAGCTGTGCATCTTGACTAATACTTTGTCTTTTTTATCATATCCATCCTAATGAGTGTGAATGAGTAGCTCACTGTGATTTTGATTGGCATTTCTCTGATGACCAACAATGTTTGGTATTTTTCTTGTGCTTATTGGCTATTTATTTATACATCTTCTTTAGAGAAATATCTATTCAGATCCTTGAGTGATTTTAAAATTGTCTTTTTATTATTGATTTACCATAGCTTTAATATGCTCTAGAGACAGTCTCTGACCAGATCTATATTTCGAACAAATTTTCTTTCATTCTGTGGATTGTCTTCTCACTTCATTTTTAGTTAGTTGTTGTTGTTAGTGAGCTTGTGAACCTCAGATCTGAAGCCTGTCCTATCCTGCGCCCTCTTATTATTCCTGAGGGTCTTCTCCTTCACTGACCCTCCACCTTCCCAAGCATTATATCCCTTTCCAAGGAACAGCTTGTCCTAACAACATGTCCATAGTTTTATTTTGGGGAGAAGGGAGGAACTCAAAAGATGACAATTCCCGTTGGTAGCAGGATACAGTTAGGACGACTTCCACAATGTCCTTACAGGTCCCTCAGCCTTGAGCCTTTAGGCCAGTGTTACAAAGTCCTCAGTCTTGCATATGTGGACCGCCAGCCCCAGTTGTCCAACACACTTGAGCAAAGGCTCTAAGCTCTGGTCCCAGTGGTGTAGCATCCCAAGGTCCCACCTCACATCAGGGGTCAGCTTCTCCAGCTCACATCAGGTCTCTAGTTCTCTGCTATGGCTGCTGTTTCCCTCCTTGTCAGTCTGGTGTCCTCAAGGATAAGCTGCATCCCCTTGTTTGCTCCTTTCCTGGTGGAAAGATGGAACATGACCAAATTTTAGAAAATGCCCTGTATCTATTTTTGTCATTTTTGTTTTTATGGTCATGTCTAAGAAAACTTTGTGTATGTAATTCAAAGACATGAAAATTCACATGCATCTATTCATCTAAGAGTTTTTTTTAGTTTTGGCTTTTATATTTAGGCCCTTGATTCTTTTTGAGTTAGTTTTGTATGTAAAGTAGGGTAGGATCCCAAACTGGGCTTATATCCTGCAACCTTAATGAACTCTTTGTTAGGCTAATAGTTTTTAAGTAGATTCCTTAGAATTCCTATATCATCTGCAAATAGAGGTAGTTGTACTTCTCATTTTCCAATCTGGGTGCCTTTTATTTTACTACTTAATTGTTCTGTTTGTCACTTCAGCCCAATATTGATTAGAAACGGTGAGAGCAGATATCTGTCTTCTTTTGGATCTTAGGGAGAAAGTAACCAGGCTTTTCATCATCAAATATAATGTTAGTTGTATATCGTATCTGGCTGATGAAGTTCTCATCTATTCCTACATCTGGCTTGTTTGTTTGTTTACTATTCAATTTTTTAAATTGAGATTTTAATGAAAGTTTATAGAGAACTTGGATTTCCATTCATTTATTGTTGCACATTTTCCTCCCTGCCCACCGCTCCCTCCCCTATTCAATGTTTTTATCATGAAAGGCGTTGAATTGTGTCAGAGACATTTTAATCTCTCATGTGATTCCCACTCTCCAAAAACCTAGGAAGGTCAGCTATGAGTCAGTTCTGATGCAATAGCAATGAGTTGAGCTGATTGAGAGGATGATGTGTTTTTAGTCTTTTATTCTATTCATTACACTGGTGGATTGTACGGATGGATTTTGGGATAATATACCAAGCTTGTATTCCCGGTAGAAATCCCATGTGGTCATGGTATGTAATCTTTTTTATACATTGCCCCCTGCCTTCTAGTTGATTCTAACATACAGTGAGATTCCTAGAGGTTTCCAAGGCTTGCTAATCTTCACAGGAGTAGACCCTCCATCTTTCTCCCAAGGAGCAGATTTTCTATAAAATTGGCTTAGTAAAATCTGCCTTGTAGGGTTTTGACACCACCAGCGAGTGCTTCTCAGTAGTTAATGTGCATGTTAATTACTTGAGATCCTGTGGACATGGAGATTAAGATTCACTAGTTTTTCTACATCTGACTAGTGCCCAGATGATGTGCATGGGGGCCAGCACTTGCTTCTCACCTCATTTTGCTATATCCTCCTGGCTCTTAGATCTCTTGGGGTAAGTGTTAGGAGCATCCTGTGTCATCTCCAGGAGCCTTTTACCCAGAAAGAAGCACAATCACTCCTCTCCAAGGCTGTGGGAGAGTGTACCCTTCCCCCCCCCCCCATAGCCCTGTGCTGTCTGACGCATGTCCTCTCCCTTCAGTGGACAGCTCTGTGAGATCCCATCCCGGCCGCCTGCCCCCAGGAGCCCCTGTGAGGGGACGGAGTGCCAGAATGGGGCCAACTGTGTGGACCAGGGCAACCGGCCCGTGTGTCAGTGCCTCCCAGGCTTTGGCGGCCCTGAGTGTGAGAAGCTGCTTAGTGTCAACTTTGTGGACCGGGACACTTACCTGCAGTTCACCGACCTGCAGAACTGGCCGCGGGCCAACATCACGCTGCAGGTGCGTGCCCAGGAGCCTGATCACAGAGGGGAGTCAGGGGTAAGATGCATCTTTGCCCAGGAGAACCAGAAGGACCCCTGGCAGGTCACTTTCTCTGTGTCAGCATTGTGGCATAAAGTAGGAAGCACAACTGGAAAGCATGTCAGCTCACAAAATGAATCACAGGAGCCCAGGGTGGAAGTGGTGGTCTCATAGACAACATGATCCCAGCAACTAGATGTGCCTGGCCTCTCTTTGACCCTGTCTTCTGCTTGTCAGTCTTGGCTTTCAGTGCTCCAGATGGGCTTGCTCCATGGGGCTGGGTGTAGCCAGAGGATTGGCCCTGGGTTTGTATTTGTAGCCCATTGCTCCTGGGGTCCTTTAAATGATCCTTTTCATGCCTTGAATTTCATCTCAGAACATCATGATGCTGAGATGGGAGGGAAATCAAACTCCAGTTCAACAACACTGATGAGTAACATGGATATTTTAGAAAATACCTCTTATTTCTTGGGAAGGCAGAGGGAGTGACTTCCGTTAAACACCACTGGTAAACATTTTAAAGCTCCTTTTTGTTGTTGTTAGGTGCCACCAAGGTGACTATGACTCATAGTGACCCAATGACCAGCAGAGCTAACTGTTGCCCTAACCTGCGCCATCTTCGCCACCTCTGCCAGGCTTGAGCCCACTGTTGCAGTCTCTGTGTCTACCCAGTTTGTTGAGGGGCGTTCTCTCTTTCATGGACACCCCTCCACCTTCCCAGCCTGATGTCTTTTTTCTGAGGACTGGTCTTTCCTGACAGCACTCCTCTTTAGACATATGTTTCTCTGCAACCCATTTCTTATTATAATCGCCACATCCTTCTCCTCTCCTTTCTCTCCTCCTCCTCTTGGGCTTCCCTTTCTTCTACCCCCAGAGCCCTTCAGCCTCTCAGATATGCTCACCTCCTCCACATCACTGCTTCCTGTCCACTTACACTGTCCACACAACAAGACGACAGCTATCTAAGGGCTCACAAAACAAAACTTGTAAAAACCCTAACTGGTCTTTGCCTCAGGGCTATCCTGAGAGGGGTCAGTTTGTCCCAACATGCCCTTGGTATCAAAAGAAGGTTCTTCCTTGGCAGCGCTAATTGGACAGTCATCCCAGTAAGGTCTCTGATTGGCCTGGTCACATGCTCATTCCATCTCTAAGTCCAGGGCGACAGGGTGACAGGATCAGTCCAGCCTGGGCCCTGAGTCACTCTCTACAGATCAGGGAGCTGACGTTTTTTCTCAAAAGGAAGGGAGGAAGAAGGACAAAATAAGAGGGTGTGTGTGTGTGGGAACAAACCCAACTAAACAAATATGATTCCTACAATGTCTTAGTGGGATCTCCTTATCAGGGCAAAAAAAATCAGCTTTTGCTTTTGCAGCTCTCACAAAAGGCCCTATAACTTTAGTGGGTCCTTCATCATTCAGGCACCTCTGACTGAACTTTGGGGAGCCTTCTTGAACTTGTGCTTTGTAGTTCCCCTCAGGGGAACTAACCCTGGGGTGCTCCCACACAGCAGGAGTGTCTGCAAGTCTGAGTGTTCTCACTCCAGCATGTCCTCTCTGGGCACAGTGCTTCTAGGGGCCCTACCTGCCCTTTCCAGTCTCCACTGGCCCGTCAGCCCTCCCTGTCTGACCCTGGCTAGATAGGCAGTAGGTGGTATTTGAACTGGCTACTTCCAGACATTCCGTGATCTCTAGAGAACATGACTCCAGGGAGACTGGCTGGGCAGGGGGGATAGTGGTCCTTAATTCTTTTCCAGTCTTGGGGCCCATCTGCCCCATTTACCATCCCTGTGTGGCTGGCTGCTGGGTGGGGTGGGTGGGAGAGAAAGTGCCATTTCCCACCAGGTGTCCACGGCAGAGGACAATGGGATCCTGCTGTACAATGGGGACAATGACCACATCGCTGTTGAACTGTACCAGGGCCACGTGCGTGTCAGCTATGACCCAGGAAGCTACCCCAGCTCAGCTATCTACAGGTTGGCTTTCTTATGCCCAGCAGATGCCCTCAGGGTTCAGGGGCAACCAGGCGGGGTCTCCTGGGCCGGAAGTGGGTGGTTATTGGAGCCACTAGATATCTAAGCTGCTCTAGTAGAAAGAACATGTGAAGCGTCTAGTCAGCCCCTGCTTAGTTAGGTCTGAGGTTCTCTGAGGCCCAAGCAGCTGCCTATCTTGTCACCACTTCAGAGGGGTTCCTCAGTGAAGATGGATCAGTTGGGACCTTTACCCCAAACCCCTTAACTTTCCCCACGGAGCTCTCAGACCAGGAGAGACCAAGCCACTGAGTTCCCACAGTCCCTCCCTTAAAGATCTGGTCCCTGGGATGAAGCTGTTGGATCACGTGGCCTTTCTAAGGAAGCACCGAGCCCAGACTGAAGCCTACCCCCCGGGGTGGGGGCACCCTGTCTTCTTCCAGTGCCGAGACAATCAACGATGGGCAGTTCCACACGGTTGAGCTGGTCACCTTCGATCAGATGGTGAATCTTTCCATTGATGGCGGCAGCCCCATGACCATGGACAACTTTGGCAAGCACTACACTCTCAACAGCGAGGCCCCCCTCTATGTGGGAGGTGAGGACTTGGCCCAGTGGAGGTGATAGTGATTGCAAGGTGGAACCTCTTTGGCTGGACACGTGTTGAGAAAGCTACTGTCCAGGGCATGGAAGTATGAGGAGAA